ATACAACTAGTATATCGTATATCACATAACCGAATAGCACATACGTAACAAATAATGGGTCGACCTTGGTGCCTTCGACCCATTGGTATGGTGAGGAGACTTACCTCTTACGAATGTTGTGCTGACAAGATAGGATCCAATAAGTCCCAACGCGCAGCTCCAACTCAAGTTCCTATAAGCATCGGAAGATTAACTTGTTATAATCCCATACTCATCCTAAAGTCAACTCTGGTCAACCCTGGTCAGAGTCAAGGTCAACAGTTCAGGTCAACAATCCACGTTGACCCCAACCTGCTGAGTGCATCTAGCAACTCGTCGAGTTCCTACGGAGTCCGAAAAACCTGAACAACCCTAGCCAACTTGTCAAGTTATTGCATTAAATCGACAAGTTCACTTCATATCCAGTATATGGGGAAACCAAATCCGACTCGTCGTGTTGCTAGGGCATTTCGTCGAGTCCCCCTCCCTATTTGCTTATTATGATGATTCACTAAATGCAGGGACTCCATGGGTTAGATCTAAATCCCTAAGGTGTCCAGAGGGATAAAGTTTCCAACTTTACGCTCTAGAACTGCTCTGAATGTTGTAAAGACCTTTTCAAAGGTTGGAAAGCTCAAACGTCTTGCCATGCTTTCCAAAACTTTATGGATCTAGAATCCATCCTTTCCAGAGGAGTTTCTAGTCCTCAAAACGTTCCAAAGATGGAGGCTTTATGGACATGCATGTCCAATGCAAGTCTTTGAGTTAAAATGGCCAAAAAGGAGAAATATACTCTAAAACCCCTTGCATGGCATCCTTGCTTGACCAAAAGCTAGATCTGGCCTACCTTGGGGCTATTTTGCCCTGGAGATCCATTAAGTCGCAAACTTTATGAACCCCATGCATGTAATCAACATGAATGATAGGAAATAAAGAGTAAACTCAGGATCTAGCCATATTCTAAGATAAAAATCGAATATCGAAGACTTACCACAGTCCACAAGATTGTCAAGATCAAGAGTGAGGGCTTGGTTTGCTGGATCTTCATTTTCTTCTTCTCACTATCTCTTTCTTTTTAAGCTCCACAAGTCACTCTAGCTCACAAAATGAAGAGAATAGGGATTAGGGTTTAGCATAGATGTTCTTAGGGTTTGGAGGCTGATGGAAGGTCAGCCTCAAGGTTCTTAAGGAGATTATATATGCTGCAAACCCTAAAATTAAGGGTTTTCCTTTACAGTACCTACTCGTCGAGTTGGCCTTCCAACTCGTCAACTACAACCTAGATCCCGTGTCCTCGTAATGTTCCCTACTTGACGAGTTGGGGCTCCCAACTCGTCGAGTCCCAACATCAAAACCCTAAAACTTAAAAAATTAAATAATACTTGGGACAAGTGTTACAAACACGTTGTCACCCACTCCACTACCCAAATTTTATGAAAAAGATAAAAAAAACCCCACCAATAGCAACAAAATATTGTTCCTAAGGGGGTTCTATATATATATATATATATATATATATATATATATATATATATATATATATATTAAAATTTATAAATTTTTTCTATAAAATAAAGAATATTAGTTTTTAATAAATAAAATAAATTGTTGATATTATATATAATTTGCATACTAAAAATTGGTTAGAAATAAAAAAATTAATAAAAGTTTTGGTTTGTTTGGGTTGATAACAAAGATAGTCTAATTATTTTTATTGGGTCGTGTATATATATTAAAAAATTGGGTTGTTATGATCATTATTTATGGTAGTTACATAACCCTTTATAAAATGATAATTCCTACAACTAGTAAATGGCCTTATAACCTTTTAAATAATAACAAATATTACAATTAGTAAATGGCCTTTGAAGGTCAAATGAGGACAGAAAAGTAATTTAATATTGTATTATTGCCCTTGGCCTCGGGATAAGATAGTAATTAAATGTTACTTAATGATTTTGTTCTTTCTTTTCAAGGTTAAAGTCTTAAAATGTATAAAAGTCTCTTGCCTTCTCAATAATATAAAACATATAATCATAATCCCGATAAAATAAAAAGGAAATTTATGATAATTACAAAGATATATACATTTAGATATAATATTCACTAGTATTTCCGATATGATCGATAGTCTTTTAGGGTTGAAAAATGAAGAATTGACCAAAATGACCTTATGTGAATCTAGTGAGCATGGTTGTTGACAAGGTTAAATTCTTAAAGATGGGTAAAAGTCTCTCGCCTTCTCAATAATATACAACATAGAATCAGAATCCCGGTAAACCAAAAAAGAAATATACGATAATTACAAAGAAATATACATCTAGATATAATATTTACTAATATTCCTGATATGATGGATAGTCTTTCACGGTTGAAAAATGAATGATCTAACCAAAGTAACCTTTTATAGGTATCTATTGAGAATGGTTGTTGACAATGGTGTGTTTTAACTATTTAAAAGAATAGCAATTGCAATAACTAATAATTGCTAGATAAAATAGATAAATGCTCCTTTTCAGTATTATATTTGAGTAAAACAAATTGATCAACTGAGTTTTTCTAATTTTTTGCAGTTAACTCACTTAAATGCTGAATTGGAGGATAAGAACTATCTTTTTTTATAATCATGGCATTGTTAGTTTTTTTTTTTTTTTTTTGAACTAGCAAATTTTATTAAGAAGAGAAGAGAGAAATAAGAGCCCTACCTAGCCATGGGCTAGGGAAGGTAGGAGGAGTACACGACCAATAAAATCAAGAAACATCACCACAGTCAATATATACAGAACAAACTTTTTTATTTCCACATTTACATGAGTGGATTAATATACCAATCAATCCAATTCCGATGTTTGATCCAAATGAAAACGATTGACTTGAATATAATAACGTTTATTGACTAACATACACACTATGTTCTCGAGTTTTTTGCTTTCCATTGAAGAAGGTGGAAAAAACAAAGAAAATTCATGTTGATTAGTTTTTTTTTCCTAAAGATACAAAAGGAGGGAACGTGGGTACATTTCTTTGCTTTTTCTTTTATATATTTCCTTACAATTTTGGAAATATATGGAATGAAATGAAAGGCTTTATAAAGTATAATAATGACAAACAATTTAAGTAATATTATATTTATAGTGTATTGATCAAATTATGAAATATCAATTATTGTGGTTTTCATTTCTAACTTTTGAAATAATTTCCTTTAGGCCATCTACAATGAGTCAGTAGTACAATATTAATGTTACTGCATTTCAAACATGGTATATCAGCTTTGTAATTTAACCCCATCGTAAATATAATACTACCATATTTTTATAATTAAAAACCCATTATATATATATATATATATATATATATATATATATATATATATATATATATATATATATATATATATATATATATATATATTAGAAATGATGTAAATATATAATAAAAAAGAGTGGTTCATGTATTGCAAGTCTTTTTAAACTTGTAAGGCTAAATCATATATGACAATATATAGCACATTTGCAAAACTATTTGAAAAACGGCTTGATCTTATATTTTCTATTGAAAAGATGAAAAATGATCATAAAAAAATTATAATTATTGAAGTTCTTATTTTACTCTCATTACTTCGTTTTTTCTTTTCTTTATCACAATTTTGGTCATTTTTACGGTCAGTCTAGTCTAAAGCATTTCAAATGGAGGGTCTTTTCTAAAATGATGATGTTATGAGAATTATAGAGAAAAAATGGTGTATTTGTTAGATTGTTTCTAAAAGTGGGCAATCAGTTATATAATCTGTTACATCTTTATTACAAAAATATTACAAGATCTATTTTTAGGAAAATCTTGTGTCTTTTAAAATAGCATTAATATTCAATATATTATTCTTGAAAGTACAATGAATATATGTACACAAAAAACAACCTAAATAAAATTATTGAATAAATTATCATTTATAACGTTATCATAAAACTTTACTCCATAACTTTTGGTACTTTATTCTCTTACTAATATGATAAGTTCTTATCGTACTAATTGTCCCCAAATAACTTTATTAAAAAATAAGAACTAAAGCAATAAAGCTATCTATTTTTTTAGGTTTATTATTCTTTAGTTGGTATCATTTAGTAATTATTTATCAATGATTAAACATTCTTACTTGAGGTTGCATACATCAAGTATTCTACAAAATTTGATTAATAACTATTTGCATAATGTTATTATGCATCGACAAATTTTAAAATTAAGGTTATTGTCACTGTAGCCCAACAATGTTTAGTATATTAATTTAAATGGTCTCTCGTGATTATTTTTTACCTTTAAAGGGTACTAACTTGTGTTTTACCGGTTAATTTGGTACATTTACCCATTTTTGAAGGTTACTGTGCCATGTCAGCTGCCAACTAGGCAGGTGAGTCAACAATGACTCATGGTGAGTCGACTCATCGTTGCCAGGTGTGTTTGTATGGATTACCAGGTGTGTTTGTGTGGTAACTTATAGCAACAAAAACTACCATTGATTCACAACCTCCAAAAATCACAACACCACTACCCCTTATTTGGGTACACATAAATCGATGGGTTCTTGGCGATCATCTTCAACTCCACGAGATATGGTTTTTGACGATGATTACAACAGAGACGAAGATGAAACAGATTTAGATGATAAGATGATTAGAGATGATAATTAGGTGATATCTTGGTCATCTTGGTTGCCTTCACTGACATCCAGTTCCTCGGGAAGAAAAGAGTATTTTAGGAGTTTAGAAACCGATTTCAAGAAAACAATTTGATTTTCAAATTGATTTCAAGCAAACATCTTAGAAAAACGGTTTTAGAAACTGATTTCAAGCAAACATTTTGATTTAGAGAATTGATTTTATATGCCGATTTCAAACATACATGTTGATTCCAGAAACGGATTTCAAGAGACATTTCGACTTAGAAAATCGATTTTAGATACCGATTTCAAGCAACCTTTTCAATTTTATAAACAAGTTCAGTTCTAATAAACAAAATTACTCATCACAATGGTTCGTGAACCTTTGAAGACGAAGATGGCGATGGTTAGTGAAGGAAATGAGCGGCGAAATCGATTGGTGCTCGATTTCATCGAGGTAACATCAGTTTCATCTTCACCAGTCTTCATCTTCATTAGTTTCTCTCTCTAGATCTATTTAACAACTATTAAACACTGGATGAACTTGGTTTTTAACCAAAAGATCGATATGGGTTTCTGTTTGAACAAAAAACAATGACGGGTTTTTCTAACCCTGGAAAAAGAAGGAATGCATCCCATCCACACTAATCCTTCAATCGATCTTCACCATAACAGATCTCTAACCAATAAAAGTTGAATTTAAGCTCCCTTGCTTAAGCATTTGTTTTTTAGAATTTTCAGATTTGAGCGAAAAAAGGTGATATATATATATATATATAAGAGTAAGTTACAAAAGTTGAAAGAATTTTGAAGAAGCTATCAAACTATGAAGATGAAGAGATCAAGAATTCTGAAGAGTGAAATACTGAAAATGATAATAATCAAACAAAAAGGTGTTGAATTTAAAGAAATTAGAGAGCAAATATCAAAGAAGAGATAAATTCCAAGAACTTCATTGTGGTATCAAAGTTGTAATCATTTTTTTCTAGGTTATTTTACTATATGTATGCTTGGGAGTTTAACAAAAAATACCTTGAGGTTAAGAAAGTTTTCTGAGGATGGATGCAGTGGGTTGTAAAAAAATGAGTGTCGTACAAACTAAGGGGTGAGTGTTCATAAGGATTGTGAGTATTTAGGATTGAGAAGAATTTAGGAACTTTATACACAAATATGTGCATTGCGATCTTGGTGTAAAGGTTGGGTTCTGATTGTTGTATGTGATGTTGGTGATGGAGGTTTAAGTTAAAAGATTAGTTTTGTTTAAAGGAAGTATTTTGATATTGTCATATTTATACATCTATTTAGGCATTATTTTATTACATTTTAAGTTATATTTTGGTTAATTGCAAAGATATTTGATACTTGACTAAACAACACAAATAGTCCCTATGGTATGTCGAAAATGCCACTTTCGTCCACAAAGTTTTGGACTAGCACCAGTGGTCAAAAACTTTCATTTTGTTGCGTCTTTGGTCCAATCTGTTCTGATTATTTTCAAAATGACGGATTTGGCACTGTTAATATGATTTTCTCTTTTCTCTTTTTTCTTTTTTTGATTAAAAAAAATAATAAAATAAAAATAAAAATAAATCTCTCTCTCTCTCTCTCTCTCTCTCTCTCATTGAGTTGGTGTAGAGGATTGCTTTTGGTATGACAAGAAATTGCATAAATTATAGAGTGAAAGAGAACAAATTCTTGTTTGTTGTTCTTGGACTAAGACCCACGATCACCTTAAATCCACACACTTCCACCATTGTTAGAAAAAATATCACCAACCTCCACCTTTCACCTTAGACTGTGACTAGTAGCCACAAAGGACCACCTATAGCCACCACCGAACTGCTGCTAAGTAGTTCCAACAACCAGTTAACGATAGTGAGGCCACCAGAAAACCACCAAGGACCATCGGAATATCACTGCTACCACCACCCATCTACCCTCCTACGATCACCGATCAACCCACCACCTACAACCCTTTCCTTCTCCTTCCGTCTCGTCAAACCCATTGGAAGAGGAAATAAAAGCGGCAGCGCTACCATCGTCGCCCTCCATCGCTGCTGCTGTGGAATCATGTCGGACACCATCAACCTCTTGACACCACCACCATTTTCTGCCATTGGTAAGCCACTACCACACACACACACACACACACTCACTCTGTCTCTCACTCTCTCCTTCTGTATCTCTATATTCTTGCATCGAGCCCCACTGTTGATTTCAACAGATTTGTGGATCGATTTTTAGATCTATTCTATTCATTGGTTGAAGTTTGATTGATTATTCAGATCTATTCAGCGTCACCCTTATTCTCGGTTCGTCCTCGTTGCTACCCTTTCTGCTTCCTATTTTTCTTTCCTTCCGGTGAGGAAAAAGAGGAAGGAAAGGAGTTGGTTGGGCTGGGTTTGATCGTTAAAGGAAATGGGGGAGTAGAGGGTGGTAGGCAGCTATGGTGGTGACATGGAGGAGCAAGGTGGTCCTCGCTGGTGTTGGGGTATTTCTTGGTGTCGTTGGTGGTTAGGGAATAAAGTAGTAACGTGGGGAAGAAAAGAAAATGATAGAGAGAAAAGGAAATGGTCGTTTGTGGGGAAGAAGAAGAAGAAGAGAGAGAGAGAGAGATAGATAGATAGATAGATAGAGAGAGAGAGAGAGTTTTGTATTTCCTTTTATTTTTTTTAATTTTTTAACCAGTAAAATATTTAAGTAAATAAATAAATATGAAAAAGTAAAAGGTTAGGGTAAAATCATCATTATAAGAAAGTTCAAAGCAAATTGGATCAAACTTGCAACAAAATGAAAATTTTGGACCTTTGGTGCTAGTCCAAACTTTTTTGGACCAAAGTGGCAACTTTTAGCTAACCACAGGTACCATTTGTGTAGTTTTGTCTTGATACTTAATGAATTCAATTACATTTTGTATCCAAATCAGACATTCTTGATGAAAGAGGACCAGAAGTGAAAAATATTGGAACGTGGAAGGACTGGAGCTGAACCGAGAGCTTAATGGAGCTTAAAAGGACGAAGAATCTAGTAATTACACTTCGCACAATGTGGAAAATGAGCATCACAATGTGGTTATAAGGAAATTACCGATAATTTACATATGAAGAAAGCTCACGACATAAGCCTTAGCCTTACGACGTGAGAAGAAAAGATTCTAGAAGATAATTACGTGGAAAGTTTCCTTGTCATATGCAGATTGCTACTAACATTATGTAACACTTGATTCAGCCAAGATAAACCCTAATTCAATCCTTTTACCTCCTTGAGTGTGTGTGAGAGCCTTGGAGGGGGATGTTGGTGTGGGCGTGAAGGAATTTAGAGCTTGAAGAGGTTGGAGCAAAGGGAGAGGCTATAGATCTGACATCTACTCTGTGTTAGAAACCATTTGCAGGTAAAAAGTCTTTACCTTGGCTTTCCATTTCTTAGATCTTCCCTTATGCAAGAATATGGTCATTTCTAGTGTAAAATGGAGTCACTCATGGGTTTTAGCTTGTAATGAGGACATGGTCTCAGATCTCGACTCCTCATGGCCTCTTTGGACGTAAAGTTGCCATCTTTATTAAGTTATGGCCCTCTACTATGCCCTAAACCCCTTATTAAGCTTCATATAAGTGTTTTAACCCCTTGGATGCCTTGCATGAACGTAAAGTTAGCAACTTTACATTGCATCTTAACCCTAGGGGACTGGATCTGTAGTTTGGGGCTTTGGATTCGATTGGAAAGGACTGAATATGAAAAGACTAAAGGAAATCGACGAGTTGATTTGGGTTTCCTGCTTTCTGGATTCTGAGTAAACTCGGTGAGTTGATGAGATAACTTGACGGGTTAGTTAGGGTTTTTCCTGGTTTTCTAAGTTCTGAAGGAACTTGACGAGTTGATAGATGCACTTGACGATTTGGGCCAACATGGACTGTTGACCTTGACTTTTGACCTTGATTTTGACTATGGTTGACCAAGTTTGTTTTTAAGGGCATCATTGGTATTTCGGGATTATAACGAAGTTGGTCACATGGTGGTTGTAGGTAGTTGAGTTCGGAGTTGCGAGTTAGGATTTGATCATATCAGTTCACCACTTCTTGAGATGTGAGTCTCCTCACAATACCAATGAGTCGAAGGCACCAAGGCCGGCCCATTACTTTCTAAGTGTTATGCTAGTTGTAATTATGATACTTGCATGGAAGACCTCGGAGGGTTCCCGGGGCACGTAGGTGTAAGACCTTGGAGGGTTTCCACGACATCCTAGGTAAAGACCTCAGTAGGTTCCCGAGGCATTTAGGTGTAAGACCTTAGAGGGTTGCCACGAAATCCTAGGTAAATACCTCAAGGGTTCCCATGGTATTTAGGTGTATGACCTTGGAGGGTTTCCACGACATCCTAGCTAAAGACCTCGGTGGGTTCCCGATGCATTGGGCTAAGACCATGTGGAGGTTCCCATCGCACTGGGAGTAAGACCTTGGAGGGTTTCCAGGGCATCCTTATATGTTTATATGCATGGCTTATGTGGTTTATGTAGTTGATATTGCTAATATAGATTATATGATTATGTGGATTGTGTGGGATATGCTCTGGGGAACTCACTAAGCATTAGCTTATAGTTTGTTGGTTGTTTGAGGTACTTCAGAGCCTAAGGGCAAGGGCCCAACATGATGTCGCAGCATGCACTCTCCATCGTTTTGTTGGGACACTCTGATATTTTTAGATAATTTATTTGATATTATGGAATTTTAAAAAACATATGTGGTTGAAATATTATGTCTTGAGAATGATTTTTGTTAATTAAAAATGAAAATTTTATTGGAAATTTGGGACGTTACACCTTATGAAGTGAGATCTTAACCCTCATGATGTGAGGGACTTTTTAAGGAAACTATAAATAGCCTTTTACATTTTTGATTTTGAGAGAGCTGAATGACTTGTTTCGGATAGTAAGTCGAAATCAGAAGCCAAAAAGCATGTGAGATTTAACTTTTGAAGGAGATATCGATTAAATCGAAGATATTTTGATGATCCAATGAAGACAACACATTACACATTCGGTTTGATCATGTTTAGCTTTATTCCTATTGTGTTTTTAGTGTTTTATTACTGCCATGAGTAGCTAATTTGGTAGACTTTCGTTTAGTTAGATGAAACGTAAAACTATAAGATAGTTTCTTAAGTTATGGATCATATGAAGTTTAATTTAGTTTGTGTGTGATTATCGATTCCTAACATGTTAAAGCTTTAATCTTTTTTGCTTACATTCAAGTTCGGTGTAGTAAAATTATTAGTTTAGATTATATGAGCTTGATCACCTAGTAGTTTATGATTATTAAACTATTAGAGCTAGGATTCATCTAATCTTAGATTAGGCAATAAAGACAACAACTTTAATTGTGTTAGAGAACATGATTTGATCATAATAGTGTTTGGTAAATCGTCTTGATCATAGATATTTACCTTAGATATATCTATCCTACATAGCTAAATTATCATTATTAATTAATTATGTGTTTGCTTGTGTATGATCATTACATAGTAGTTCATGAGTTGAGGAAAATATTAAGAGATCTGATCAAGCTTGTTAATAAAATCTATTTTAGTAACCAACTTTATTAATCCATAAATAAGAACTGACCATAGGAAAAAGGTGGATTCAAAACTAAACTAAAGTGCTTTTAATATCTTGATAACAACCATAAGTTAAGTGTTTGTTTAGTTTTAAGTTAATCTGAACTTGAAAAACCAGATAAAACCCTTCTTTCGTTATTTGTTTTTGGATTAATTTTTATTTTTAATTCTTTTAATAAATTGAATTCCATTCCCTGTGTTCGATACTCAACTTACTTTTCTATCCTATGAACTGACTAGGTACACTGCCTATTAGTGCATTCGTAGAAAATTTTTGTTAGGACTTAAATTTAATTTAGTAGGTATATTTATGCACATCAGAGAGTTAGCCATCCAATGTAACTGTTGAACTTTGGATAAATAAGGATCCATCCATCCAATGCAACTGCCGAACTTTGATTAATAGAGAGTTAACCATCTATATACTTATTCCTTAGGGATTTTGGATCATTACAATTAATAAAATAATATTCAACCCCTTTAATTAATTAAAAATATTTATTTAATTTGAAAATAATTTCTAATTAATTTATTAAGCCATAACAATTTCTAAAAATTATTTCTCTTAAATCCTTATTGCTCAAATGGGCCATGATGGAAACCCAAAGGACCTTACTATTATTAGATATATTACAAATAGATAATGACCCTGTACACTCATTCCATCAGTAATTTAAGCAATCAACGAACTTTCTTCTTGTTTCTGTTATATTGCTAGCATCATCTGCCATCATATTCCATTTCCTTCTTTTGGTGATACTCATTCTATCGTGCTTTCCTAAAAGCTACAAATTCTTCTCCATAGGAATCCTCGACAATCAGCTCATGTTGATAGTTCATCCTCGCTACCACTGCTTCATGACACCTCCAACGGCAACAACCACCATGAGCGTCGCCAATAACGTCGACCTTCTCAGAACTGATGTTGATAGTAGGGAACAACCACAATATACCATCTCCACCACCCCAAAAATATGACTGGGTTTAGATACCATCGTTGGGTTCTTCACAGATCTAATAGACTCCTTACACACGATCGATCAACACGCCATAATGGTGTTTCTAGAATCACCAACATGCTCCATGGCTTCTAATCCAACCTCCTCAACGAATTCCCTTCCCTACTACATATGTGTAACGCCCGCAAATCCGGGCTAGTCAAATTAGAGGCAATAGGAGTCGAAAACGACTTTTCAACAAAAGATTATTTAGAATAAATAATCATAACCAAGTTGTAGTATATGTCACAAGGTTTCTGTACATATAAAGAACGCCAAAATCGGAGTTATAACGAAGAAGTTATGACCCGTTGAAGTTTCGCGACGGAACCAGCACGATACCGGAAAGCATAAATAGCGAATTTACGATAGAGCGAGATTTAGCCTTAGCGATCTAAACGGAAGTCGTAGAATATGTTAAACTAAGAACATCGATAAAAAGAACGCCCAAATCTGACTTCGTATGAAGAAGTTATGATTTTTCGAAGTTTCGGAATAACAGTGTACAACCCGAAATTCGAATATTAGATCGAGCGGTTTTTAGCCGACACGACCTAAACGAGAATCGAAGATCTCGTTAAGAGTAGCGTAATGAGAAGAAGATGGGCGAAAATGGATGTCGGATGAAGAAGTTATGAGGATTTAACGGACCAATCGCGTCCCGGCCCGTTAATAATATAAAATTTAAAATCAAGCCAAAATTAGCCGACGAAGTCTAAAAGAAAGTTGTAGAGTAAGTTCCCACCTTCGCGTGGATATAAAGAACGTCGAAAACAGAGCTCGTATGTGAAGGTTATGATTTTTAGAAGTCGAGAAGGAAATTTGCGAAGTCTGTTCCGAGATTGATG